TTTTTTTTCTTTTTAAAGGATAGTCAAAGAGTTTCTGGGCGAGACAACAGTAATACTAAAATGTTTTTTTTTCTGTGCTTAATTGTTTGTTTAACTATCAACATAATAGTTTTTTTTTTCCTACTTCCCCTACTGGAAGATGCTGAAAAACAATGATGAACTAGAAGAACGAATCTCTAATGTGATGATCCAGAGTATAAGAATTGATAAGGTGACTCTGTGTGTGGCTGTCAGATGAGGATACACCTATGTGGTGTGTGTGTGCGGTGTGTTGAAAGTCCTTTTGCGTTTTTCTGTGTTTGTATTGATCTTTGCTTTGCTTTACACTTGAATAATTACAAGAAAGATTTTTACAATGTGCTTCGATATAATTAATGCCGTTGGAAACTGTTTGAAGTTCGTTGTGTCAGTTGTTATCTTCCTCCTAATTGGTGGACCCGTACTTATTATTGTTGGGAGTGTGTTTCTCAGTCAAAAAGATGGTCGTAAAGAATTTAAAGCGGCTGTGAATAATTTTAATCCCACACCCATCCAAGCGTGGACTGGCACCATAAACGGCTATGGTGCTACTGTTAAGCATGTATCTCTTAATGTGGATAATGCCCCTTCTGTCTTTACTGAGGCTACCGTTCCACTGGGAAGTGCACCTGCCTCAATGCTGAGTTTTACCGTGAACATCAACACTGTCAAAGAGTTCACACGAACTGTTTATCGAAGAATTATTTATATACGCTTTGTTGAGTGTTCTATGAGTTCCTGTTCATCCACGAGTAGATCTTGTTACTGTAACACCATGGTGGAAAATTTTCAAGCTAATTGTAATGCTTCCGGTGGAAATTTTACACCCACTAGTCCCTCATGTGGTGTAAACAGCCGTTGTGGTACATGCGCGCAGTACCAGTATCTGTCGGGATTGTATCTTGTAGCTACTGAGATCAGTCCAGGGGTGTACGAGGAGGACTTCACTCTACGCAGTGCCATTTACGATTTTAGTGGGATGGCGAATATTTACCAGGTGTCGGAACCATCCAGCGTTGTGGTGCGCCTGTACAGCGACAAGGACCCTTTTATAGCGCTACAGCGGCTGACGAAAGGTACAGGGGACTTTGGTGTGAATCGCCGTACTGCTGGAATTATCATGATTGTCGTTGGATCTGTCCTTCTGTTGCTGGAAATCGGTGTCTGTGTGGCATTGATCTGCTACTGTGTGCGACGAAAAAGCAAACCTACAAACAACAGTCCTGGGCAACCAACAACGTCCAATCAAGGAATTACTGACTCACCGGGATATGTGGCGCCTAATGATTATGGACAACCACCAGCGCCACTACCACAGGGCTATGGCTATGGACAACCGCCAGCAGCAGCAGCACCACAGGGTTATGGATATGGACAACCACCAGCACCACCACAACAAGGTTATGGTTATGGACAACCACCAGTACCACCACAACAAGGTTATGGATATGGACAACCACCAGTACCACCACAACAAGGTTATGGATATGGACAACCGCCAGCAGCAGCAGCACCACAGGGTTATGGATATGGACAACCTCAAGTACCACCACAACAAGGTTATGTGTATGGACAACCGCCTGCATCTCAACCACCAGCGCAGTATTTTTGAAGTATGAAGTTCTCTATGTTATTGGGTATGTATATATATATATATATATGTATGTAGAGTTAAGAAAGATTGTTCTTGTTCTTTGTGTTATGTTTGTATGTTTTGGTTTGTTTTTATTGTTTACTTGTAAAAAGTGCAAGTTTTTTATGTTTTTTTTTTTTTTGTATTTTGGGAAGAAAGTTATAGGATGTCTGGTTTTGAGTGTATGTTTTTTTTTTTTTTCCTTCTCGGATATGTTGATATTATTAAATGTTATACTCGGGTTTTTTGTCGAGTTTTTTTTCCTTTTGTTTTGTTGGTTTTTTTTTCTTTTAATTCTTTTCCCTTGATGTCGTGTTTTTTTTTTTTTTATGGATAGGGTTTTATGATAATTGAATGTTTGTCTTATTTTTTTTTCTTTAATTTTGTTATCATCTTTGTTGTTGAGCTTTGTTTTCTTTAAAACGAAAGACAAGTAAAACAGGAAGGTGAAGTGTATCTTTCTCCCGCCCCTTCTCTTTTTTTTTTCATTTTTTTAGTGGGGAAGTTAATGTGGTAATGTGGAATTGTTGCTGCTCCAGAGTGATTTTTATCATAGTTCATGTACTCAGTTGTTGTTGAGATCCTGCCGAATGGCTCTGAGCCTCCACCAGAGGGGACGTCTACATTGCTGCATTCAATCGTAGCTTTGGCATTCTGTGTTTAATCACTGCAAATGAGAGGCATCTTTCTCCTCTTCTTTCCATAGGGTGGTGGTTTGTTTGTTTCTGTAGTAATGGACGGATCATTGTGACGATGATGTGTTTTGCATTTATAATGGTTGAATTCTTCTTTTGGGTATTGGATGACACACCGTACATTGAAGTTAGTAAAATGTGTTTATAAAAAGAAAAAAAAAGTCACAACATTGTATTGTTTTTAAGCTTTACTAATCAAATTCTGCATTATGCTTCTGTTTTACCTTTGAATGACTCTTGGAACCACAAGGTGGTATATACGACTCTTGTGTTGTTGATTTAAGGGATGAGGTTCCTTTGGAGTGTATGAGGATTGTGGATTAATTTCTGGGCCATAACCTCTGTTGGCTGACTATAATTACTCTTATTATTTTTATTATTTTCATTATTGTTATTATTCTGCGTTTTTTTTTTTTTTCGTTTGTTGTTAAACCATTTGCCAATCTTTGTATGTCTAGACATCCTTAGAGGACGTGAGGACGATAAATAAATTAAGAAAAAAAAAAGGAATTGAGTGACAAGTATACTTTCTTTTCTTTAAATATCTTGTTTTCTATTTTTTTTTTTTTCTTTCTCATCCTGCTCTATCTCATTTTCAAGAGGAAAAAAAAGGGAAAATAACAGCAAGAGAAGAGAAAGTGGAGATTTTTAGGGGGATATGTCCAGCGGTGGTGAAACCCATGATCACTCTGTGTCTATAGCCTCTGTGCGTGGAGAGGGTCTCATCGCTATTGGTATTAACACAAAGATATTTATCGTTATTCACGATGGTGTGAAGGAGCAAACAGGCGTTGTGGATGATGGACAAGTGGTGCGTGGTGTTGCATTCCTACAATCTTCAACAGGTTCACGTTATCTGGTGTCTGGTGGTGATGGTAAGCGTATTAATATGTACAGTATTCCAACACTGAAAGGAATATCAGAGGAGCAATCCAATCTTTTCTCTGCTGGAATACCACTTTCATTCTCTGTTGGTCCTCACACTAAGCGCATCACACATGTGGCAACCTGTGGTGATTCCACTATTTTGTTTGCCGACAAATTTGGGGAAGTGTACCGTCTGAGTCTGACATGGACACCCGATCAAACTCCAAATTCTGGAGTAACAACAACAATGATAAAATGTGGCAGTGCACCCGTATTTCTTCTTCAGCATTTTAGCGTGATCAGTACCTTTTTTCTCTCTTCACCCATTTCTGGGAAATCGTTGATGGATCATTCTACAGAAAATGGGAATGAAAAGACAAGGACAATGTTACCTCTTATTGGACGTAGACTCTTTACATGTGATAAGGACCGTCATGCGAGGGTCAGTTGTTACCCAGATACATTTCGTATTGAACAATTTTTATGGAATGAAACCCCACAGTCGGTGGTGACATCCATTACAGAGATTCCAGATCCCACAGGTCTTGGTAAAAACTCTTACTTTGTGGTTGGTTGTTTTAACGGTATGATACACTTATGGGTTGCGGATAATACTTTGTTAGATGCCTCTACAAGTGAACCTTTTACACTTCTCACAACCCTTTCTCCAGAAGATGTTGGTGTTGTGAATTCTACTATTCCCACTACTGCAGATGATGGAGCTACTACTAGAGCTGTAGTATCTCTGGTACATGTTGACATGTCATCATCTATTAATACGGAAATCCATACGAATGGAAAAAGTAATACACAAGGTATTTTTATTGCTTACGCTGGTATAAAAGATGTTATCTTTGTTCCTCTCAAGTATGATATCAGTACGCAGAAACTCTCTTTTTCAATGGAAACTATTAAACAAACACACTTGGAATCATTTCCTCTTGCAATGATAGGATTAAACAATGATTCTGCGTTTCTACTGGGACGTGATGGGTGTCCACGTATTCTGCGGCTCATCCACAAGGAGACGGAGTCTACCATTCAACTTGTAAAGGAGTGTTATGCAGAACTTGAGAAGGAAATTGTAAACTACACACAGGGAGCTGCTGATGGTACCCTGTTGTTGCGCGATATGAATCTCTTTGCACTGTGGAATTACGACGCCGTAGATCCTCGTACACGCAAGAGAAATGCAAGAGCTGTATCAGAAGATGATGATGATAATGAGGATGGAAATGGTAGCGTAGAAGGAGTGGATACTTCTGCAGCTGCTAATAATACGGCTAATACTACCACTAATGGTGATACAGTGGAAAAGAAAAATATGGAACAGATGGTCGGTAGTAAGGTACCACGCACAGAGTCTGGAGGTGTTGTCTAGTTTGGGGTGTCAGGATGGCAATTGTTAATAAGTATATATATATATATATATACGTTTCTAAAGTTCTCTACCTGTTTGAACGGGTGAGCAAAATGAGAATAAAAAAAATAAACGTTAAACAAAATAAAGGAAGGGAAACTAGTATTATTCTTTGCTGTTTGAAATATCAATATATGTTGTTAGAATCTATTCCTTGTACATTGTTCTTGTTTTTTTTTTCTTTCTTTCTTTTTGTCGTTCTTGTTTTTTTTTTTTAAGTTTTGACGGGTTTCGGTATTTTAAATAGGCGAATGCACAAGGAAAAAGCAACATAAAAGAGTATTAGTAGAAAAAGAAAAAGGATGAAGATCATATGAATAGGATATATAGTATATGTCCAACATCACATATATATATATATTTATATATATAGATAAATACATGCAAAATGGAAAATTTCCCTTTGTTTTATTTCTTTAACCACATCGACATGTGGTGAAGTTCTCTGTACACATTCTATTGTGCGAGATACTGCCTCAGTGGTGACTGGTGACTGCGGTGTTTACTACTTGTCATCGCTAAAGGGGAACAGTGAAGGAGAGAAGGAGAGAGAAAATAGTGTATGTGAACAGTAAGATACATCTAAACACATTCTTCCACTCCTATTGCTCATGATAGTTGAAGTACAATTTTATTCACTCGTTTTTTTTTTTTTTATTATTTGGTTTGTTTGTTTGTTTGTTTCTCTTGTTTGTCTTTTGATTTTTTCTTTTTCGTTATCTTCATCCCCATTTCTCTCTCTCTCTCTCACTCTGTGTGTGGCATACGCTGATACTGAGGTATTACATATATACATACCATCAGCAACAAGAAAAAAAGAAAAAAAAAAAAAACAACAACAACGAAATCAAACCGATAGTGGTAACGAGGTGTGGGTAGTTTGGTGAATAAGGTAAACGAAAGCAAATCTAAATAATAAATAAATAGAAAAAAAAGAAAACAAAAGAGAAAAAACAAAAGAAATAAGAGAATGGGTCAAATCTTCAGTGATACTGCAACCCACGAGCCAGTGCCTGAAGAGGTACGAGAGCGCATTGAACCCATCACGTACACCCCGGCCCCGTTATCGGAACGACCGCAGGACGGCCGTGTCTGTGAGGGCTGCGGGGAGCCGTACATGTGGTACTTCACGCCCAGCACGAACTGCGATTGGTGTGGCCGGCAGCTCTGTAGGCGTTGTTGTCCAAACCGCCATTTGTTAGGGGGAAATCCAGGTTGTCCGGACTGCACACGGAAGGCGTTTATTATGAAACGAGATGAGATGCTTAAAGAACATCTTGCCTGCAAGAAAACAACCAATCAACCAGCGGCGGTTGACATTTCATAAGAAGAGAGAAAGAGAGAGAGAGAGAGAGAAATAGAGAGAGAGATGAATGTCGACTGCTTGTCTTTAGTTGGTTGGTTGTTTTCTTTTTGCATGTATGTATGTATGTGTCTATCTTGCTCTGTACTGTAGGATGTTTTTTTTTTTTTTTCATTGTGGAGTTGAAGTTGTAATCTGTGTTCTTATTTTTATTTTTCTTCTTCGAGAAAAAGAGATGTGAAAATATGACACGTAGGAATATCTTTGGTGGACTCTCCGTATTTGTGAGTTTTTGTGTGTGAGTATTATTATTTTTGTTTTTAGTTTTGTTTCTCATATTGGCGACGTTTGGTGTTCACTCAATGCTTATATATATATATATATATATATGGTATCTCTGCATTGTGGTTTCTGCTATCTTGAGTCATGGATAAAATAAGCTTGACATTTTTTTTTTTTTTGTTGTTCAAGTTATTATGAATGACTGGTCATGAGTCTCTCTCTCTCTCTCTGGTACTCTTGGTCAGATATATACTTATTCATACACACATATGCATACATTTTTAGTTGCGATGTTCAGGATTCTCTTAGATGTGTTGTATGTGTGTGTCTGAGGTGGTATCATTACTCATTAAATTGAGTGTGTTTACTATTTTTTTTTTTTGCCATTTTTATCTTTTCATCTCTCTTTCAGTGTATGTGTCTGTGTGTTTGCTGTTTTCCCTTTTTTTGTGATTTGATTTTATTCTATTTTTTTTTTTTTTTTGTTCTTCTTCTTATTCTCTACCAATACGATCTTTGCTTATATGTATATATATATATGTGTAAATGTACATATTCCAAGTACAGAGAGTATACAGTAAATAGTTTATCGGGTATTTTTTATCCAAAAAAAAAAAAAAAAAAAAAAAAAAAAAACTATGTTCAGTTTGGAAAGGAGACTATGCTTCACTTTTACCACTTCTAGTAGAATATTCACAAGAAAAACAATAAGAGGATCCACATCCTTTTTTGTTACGCCTCTTAACGCTTCTCAACGAGGATGTACATCTATACAAGATAAGAGTGAAACTCCAAACCCCTATCTTCTTCTTGGGGATTCCTGCAGTAATGTGGAAGTACGAGCGTGGATTAAAGGTGTGGAGGTGGAACGTTCTGCCCATGAACAATTACTACAACTCTCACGTATGGGAGATGTCATTCAACATCCAATTGCCGTTATGCCGGATGTTCACACAGGACATGGGGCTACTGTAGGAACTGTTATTCCTACCACACAGGCGTTAATTCCCTCAACGGTTGGTGTAGATATTGGATGTGGAATGATTGCTGTAAAGACAAGTCTTACTCAAGAAGATCTTCCTAATTCTCTTGCCGGTTTAAGACTTGCCATTGAAGTGGCAGTCCCACATGGACGTACACATAATGGGAGAAGTAATTTAGATGCGGGTAGTTGGCGTGGTGAAGTACCAAAGGAAGTAGCGGAGATTTGGAAAAGTCATCTGCAAAAAGGGTTTGAAGAAATATGTAGTATGCATAAACAAATTGAATCCAGTAATCACATCACTCATCTTGGTACACTTGGTGGAGGGAATCACTTTATTGAACTCTGTGTAGATGATGATATTAATAATAATATCGGACGACCACATATTTGGATAATGCTACATTCCGGTTCTAGAGGAGTTGGGAATCGTATTGGTAGTATATTTATTGAACTTGCTAAAAAAGATATGGGAACACATCTTGTAAATCTACCTAATGTTGAATTAGCGTATTTGCGAGAGGGTTCTGAACACTTTGATCAATATGTAAAGGCTATTGATTGGGCACAATCATATGCTAAATGGAATCGAGAAATTATGTTACAAGAAGTAGTAAAAGCGATGCGAAATTATCTTGGTTTACCTTTTACAATGGATAAAATGGCTATTAACTGTCATCATAATTATGTTGAACGAATAGAATTAAGTCCATCTAAACATGTTTGGCTTACACGTAAAGGAGCTACATCTGCACGTTCTGGTGAATTAGCCGTCATACCTGGTAGTATGGGTGCTAAAAGTTATATTGTACGTGGAAAAGGAAATCCACATAGTTACTTTTCTTGTTCACATGGTGCGGGAAGACGGTATAGTCGTGGTGAGGCAAAACGACGCTTTACACTTGAGGATCACGAAGCCGCAACTGAACACGTGGAGTGTAGAAAAGATGCAGATGTATTGGATGAAACACCATTAGCATATAAGAAGATTGATGATGTGATGCAAGCACAGGAGGATCTTGTGGAAGTGGTCTGTGCTCTTAAACAGTTACTTTGTGTAAAGGGGTAAGTCCGAGAGAGAAAGAGAGAGTGGGGGATACTACAGGGATTCTTTTTTTTTTTTCTTTTCTTTTCATTTGCTTTTCTTTGTTCTTCGTAAAGAGGAACAATTATAATAAAAGAAAAGAAAAGAAAAAAAAAAAGACCCTTGGAGTACTCAGTGAGAATAAAACAAAGAAGAAAATAATCTTATTATTATTATTATTATTATTATTATTATTATTATTATTATTCTTTTTCTTGCTTTGCCAAGATTTTGCAAGTACAAAGTGAAAGGGAAAGAAGGTGTGAGGAGGAGGAGGAGGAGGTTATAAGAAGAAAATAAAAATAAAAAAAAGGATGGTATATTCATTTCTTTCATCTTTACTTCTTTTTTTTTCTTCTTCTCCTTTTTTTTTTTTTATCTTCTCTCATTATAGTTGTGCCCCCTCAACTCTGCTTCTTCATATTCTTCTTCTTCTTCCATGTCACAAATGCGGAATTCCAATGAGGAGGCAACACATGTGAGAGGAACAGAGAACCGGTTAAAGTATAAAGAGTACGCCCCTCATATTGAGATTGGATTTTGGTATGAACTGGAATTTAAAAAACTACACAAATGGCGTTTAGAGGAACCTATTGTACCCTTAACATTATTCAATACGATAAACAGTGTTTCTTCTGCAACTCCCGCTAATACAGTTTCAGTTAGGCGAGAGAGTCTTGATAACGATATCGTCACTGTGGCAACAAGTTTAAGGGAAAATAATACTACTACTACTACTACTACTACTACTACTACTATTAGTAATCTATCTACCGATCCAACAACTGTTGATGGTGGGGCAACTTTAAATGATTCCTCCTCTGTTTCTATTTCTACACTTGTGAAGGGGGAAATACAGAATTTTAATACAGTTGAACAACTTCGTCAATTGCCTCGCAAGGAAACATTATGGCGTATATTGCGGGAAAAATTACTTCTTCCATTATTACCTGATTCTACTAAAAAAGATAAGGATAATAATGATAATCATCATCATCATCATCAGGAAACTGTAAGTACTGCAGTGGAAAAGGCATGGGAAGAAATGAATTTTGCTATTGCTGTTCTCTTTACATATGCAGACTTAAAAAATCATAAATTTCACTATTTAATGGCATTTCCAGTTTTATCTATCAGTTCTCCAGTTTACTTGAAGCATCGAGTAAAGGGAGGATATAAAGGTATTTCAACCAATCCTCATGAAATTTCATATTTCCCCAGTCAAGCAGCTGTGAATTCTATACATGAACATTTATTAGAAAGATTACAGCGATATCCAGAACGAGGTCCTAATCCTTTTATAGTTCTCTTTGAAGATAGTAAAGATAAAGATAAAAAGAAAGAAGTAACATTTCTTTCCTTTACACCACTTTCTATAAGACGTATGATAGAGACACAACATTCTATTATTGTGATCTCTGATACTTCTACAAGGGAAGAATTTCCTGGATGGTCCGTTCGTAATGTGATTGGTATACTTCGTCTTGCCTCTCCTTCTATTAAATCTTTTGTGTTGTATTGTATTCGTCATAATAATGTGGAGGAAAGTATTATATTTGATTGCACCTGTGATCCGCTTGACTGTACTCTTGCCGATGCGGCGGCTATAGTAACAACAGAAGAAACAGAAGGAGTTCCCGTAAAAGCGGTTGGATGGGTGGAACGAAAAAGTTCTTCTACTTCTTCATCATTATCATCTTTTGTGCATTTTGTAGATTTAAGTGCTGCGATGGCACCTGAACGCCTTGCGGAGTCTAGTGCGCGATTAAACTTAAGTTTAATGAAATGGCGTATGTTACCACAACTTCAATTAGATGGATTAACACATTGTAAAGCATTGGTGCTTGGCTGTGGTACACTTGGATGTAATGTGGCTCGACATTTATTAATGTGGGGAGTTACAAAGATGACACTTGTGGATCGTGGAAATGTTTCTTATTCTAATCCTGTTCGTCAGACACTTTTTGAAATGTCAGATGTAATTAATCCTTGTATAGAAGAACGTAATAAAGCGGTAGCTGCGGCTAAAGCGCTTAAACGTATTCTTCCTACAATAGAAGTGGAAGCGGTTCCCATGACTATTCATATGCCAGGACATCGAATTGATAAAGAACGAGAAATAGATGCTATTAAAGATATTGAAAAACTTGATAAACTTATTCAAGAACATGATGTGATATTTCTTTTAACAGATAGTCGGGAAGCACGATGGTTACCAACTGTAATATCCGCTGTTTATGATAAACCTCTTTTAAATGCAGCTCTTGGATTTGATACTTATGTAGTTATGCGTCATGGTATTAAATCATCACATGAGAATACTAATAATAATAATAATAATAATAATAATAATAATAATAATAATAATAATAATACACGTTTGGGATGTTACTTTTGTAGTGATGTTTATGCTCCTCGTGATAGTATGACTGCACGTACATTAGATCAACAGTGTACAGTAACGCGTCCTGGAGTTTCAGCCATAGCCGCATCTACAGCTGTGGAATTATTAGCACAATTGTATAATCATCCATTAAAGTTTGCATGTCCTCCATATATGGAGGAGAATACCACAGATAAAGAAATTTTAGATAGCAAAAATAATGAACCAGAAGAATCTAAAGAAAGAGAAGAGGAAAAGGGAATCAATAAAGCCATGGGAGTTCTCGGGGCTATTCCACATCAAATACGTGGAAGTGTCTTTGGACACTATATTTATACTCTTCATGGTTATCAATATAACCTTTGCACAGCTTGTTCAGATTCTATTGTTTCTGCATACAAAACAGAAGGGTCATCCTTTGTCTTGCGTTGTATCAATGATCCTCTCTATATTGAAGAAGTTTCTGGAGTAAAGGCCTTTAAGGAGAAGTGTGACCTTGGGGACTGTGGTGAATGGGATATCGATTCAAATGACAATTGAAGGGAATTTGTTTTTTTTTTTTTATTATTATTTTTATTTTTCTTTGTTTAAGGGAAAGCTCTTGTAGAAGAGGGAAATGATATCGACTTTTGACCTAAAAAAAAAAAAAACCATATATATATATATTTCGTAAAAAGAAATTACAGAAGGATCTCTTGCTTTCTTTTTTACTTTTTTTTTTTACTTCTTTGTTTGCTCTGTGTGTGTAGTAGTAGTTTTGAATCTTCATTGTATAATGAATATTAAAGTAAAAAATGATTTGTGAAATTATTTCTCTACACGAACTTTATTTTTCTCACTCTCCCTCTCTCTCATCATCATCATATACTCCTTTTCTTTTTCATTCTCATGCTCTCTCTCTCTCTCTCTCTTTGTCTTGATATTATCTTATCTCCTTATATATATATTATAGAAAAGGGGGAAAGAGGAAAGAAAAACAATAGTAATAATAATAATAATAATAATAATAATAATAATAATAATAATAATAATAATAATAAAATAAGTTTAAAGAACCTGTATATTGTGTTTAATTAACTTAGCGGGGAGCGACCGATAGCCGCGGTAATGCCAGCTACATCTATGGTGCCTGGTGTAAAGCGACCACGGGATGGAAATGACGGAAACCACGATCAAAGTAAACCACATTCATCCTCTTCACATGCTGCCATTATAGAAATTACATGTGGTATTACAAAAGAAGCCGCCATAATGTATGAGAAACAATCTACAGAACACGCGCTTCTCTATCAAGATATGGATACATTACTTAGTTCTTTACTCTTTCGTCATAAAGTACGTCGTTTCTTATTTCCACGTACGGATGGAAGTAAATTGGATGGACCTTTAGAAATTGGTATTATACAACTAGTGGCCAATGATGGTGAGACACTTATATTTACATCTGATACGATTGAACCTGCACAGGTCCCTGTTTCTGTTGGTCAACGTGTTTGTATTGGAGATGTGGTACTTTTTCAACGACTTACTACTACTACTACTACAAATAAAGAAAATAATGAAGAACATTCCACATCTACATTAGTAGAGTTTATTACATTAGATCCTTCTGTACTTACAGATGCTGCTGATTGGTCACATGCCGCTTCTTGGAATATAGTAGTGGCTATAAAGTGGATACAAAAACTTCTTTCCTATCCACCTGGTCTTGCACAGTTTACATGTATTATGGATTCTTTATTAGGCGATAAAAGTTTAAACTCTACAAATCCTCCAGATGCATGGATGCGATCACTTTATTTACCTGTTTTATTACAATATATTTCAAAAATAGAAGGAATAGAGACTCGTAAAGTCTATCAAGTAAAAAAAGTGACACTCTCTTTACTTCGTCTCTATGTTGCTATATTAGATGGTGCAGAGTCTATTATTACAATTCCACGTCTTGTGGAAGAGTTAGTGTATCAATTTATCGCTTCGCCTTTATTTATAGAAGGTATTTCTGTGTTATTACCACAAATGGCTGGATCAGTAACAGAATCTACATGGGCAAGTACACAAAAGACTGTACTAGACGCTGTGAAATTAGCCTTTCGTTATATTTGTAGAGATACTGGAAATGAAACTAAATGGCGTAGTGAAGTAAGAAAACGTGCGGAAATAGGTTTCTTTACTGTTCTTCATCGTATTACAGAATTTTGGTTAAATCACACCAATAAAGAAATATCTTCACAAACAGGAGTTCAGGCAATTATACAATTAGTGGAAGAAATGACACGAATAGGTCTTTTACGTCGAGTAACTCAGTGGGTACGACAACGAGAACGTATAGCAGATACCGTAAGTCTTGTAGATAAAACACATTATCCACCTAATTTACAAGATATTAAAGATTTACACGGTTTAAAGGAATCTACAGTAAAGGAAATGATGATAGCAATGACCCAAACATATACTCCATATCTTCGTCAAGAGACATTACGATTTGTGGAATGTGCCATGATGGCAGCGTATGCAGAATTGTATGGACCAGCTTCACGTGCGGTATCTCGTTTTGTACAAGAAAGTACTAAAATGACTATGAATGGAATGGATAATCAACAACAAAAACTTCAACTCATACAAGTTAAACAACCTGCTCTTCGTTCAAATCTTTTTGATTATTCTTTAGAGGAAGTTCGTTTACATGCATTATTTGGATTACCCCTATCTCTTATATTGGATATCTCAAGTCAAAAGAATATTCTCAATGAACTTCAAGAAGTTACATCATTATTTGGGTATGTTGTCCTGGTTTTAAGGAATAAAACATTTATTTTTCCTGTTATTCTCTGTAATGTTGTTGAAAATAATGAGAAAGAACTCTCTACTGTTACAGCCACTGCGTATGTCCTTCGGGATAGGGATATGTTACCTTCACTAGTGGAAGCAAGTGCTGCTGCTGCTGCTACTAGTAGTAGTAGTAGTAGTAGTTCCCATATGATACCTAATTGTTTACCAGATGCATGGTTTATTTACGGTAATCGAAATGGAAGTAAAAGAGAACACACTCGTGATTATCATCATCATCATCACAATAATAATCATAATCATCATTCTAATCATCATCATCGTATTCTTCATGATGCCCCACCACAATTCCTTCCACGTGGTACATCTGCTGTATCCTATGTATTATACATTTTACATCTTAAAAAACTACGAACTCGATTACAGGAGGAAGAACAGAGTACATCATCCAGTGGAACCACCACTCGTGTTAAAAATAATCAAGGAAAAAGTGGGGCAACGGAAGAAGATGTACTTTGGTGGGGAAATATGAATAACAGTGTTGGAAGTTCAAGTGATTTCTTTCTTCATTCAACTTCTCTTACAGGTGAGACGGAAGCCATTCAACGTTGTATTACAGAACTCACAGAGACCGCTTCTCTTACCGCCTCACAGGTGGAATGTTTACATACATTAATGAGTACAGGACCAGGTGTACGCACTATTGTAGGAGCTGTGGGAAGTGGGAAAACAACACTTATGCATGCTTCTAGTCTATCACGTGGTAGAGCACAAGATACATTACGAAAACAACATCAAACACTTTGGTATTCAATGATTAAACATAGTGGACAAGTATTAACAGCTCGTGTGGATGAATTATCACCAGTAGAGGAAATTGAAGATATTTTTAAAGCAGTAGATGTATCTTCTGTACGAGACCTTGCAGAAGAAGTGACAAATGCCGCTTTAGCTCATATACAAGAGCATGTACACTTAAGTGAAAAACTAAGATGTTGTCATGCTCCCTTGTTATTACGACCAAAAGCAGTTGAACAAAAACCCTCATCACATGTATTGAGAGTTCTACAAGATGATAATATAACAGAACAATATCATTCACTTGAAGATATTATGTTACAAAGTCATCAACGATCATTGAATGCTCCTCTTCTTAATGTCTTAAATACATGGCTACAATCTTTAAAACGTTTAGGTGACCTTAGTGATGCTATACGTCGTTCATTAGAAAATGAAAATGAGAATGAAAATAATAATGAGATGTCTGAAAAGGGAAAATGGAAACTTTATATTGAGTTACTTCCCTGGATTATGTCTAGTAAAGAACGACATGATACACTCGCTGAGGCTAAACGTCAAGGAAAGACATGGGAAACATATCTTTCTGAGGATCTCTGGGATACCTTAACTGTAGTAACATGTGATAATCTTGTTAAAGAAAAAGAAATAAATATCTGGAAAAATACAGAACCTGCAGTTTCTTCATTTCATGCCGTCGCATTACCAAATAAATCACGTAGTCTTTGTGAATATGGAAAATCTGAAGCTGCTGGATGGCGTGCTGTTTTTGGTGAGAAACAAAAAGATCTTCTTGATTTTTTAAATCAAGAAATAATGGATGGGTCACGTCATTTATTTGAAATGTTCTTAGATTTTATTCAAGCCGTAGGAGCCACTTCACAAACTTCTAAAGTGACAGTCATTACTGCCACTGGACCATCATTATTACAGGAACTTTATTTCTTAGGTGTATGGCAACCAAGATATCTTGTAGTGGATGATTATGATCAAATTAATGATGCCTTCTACCTTACATTATCACCAGCCACAGTAGTGATTCTTTCTCATCAGAGGGAAGCACCACTTCAACAAGAACAGTACGCTTCTCTTGCAGTTCTTAAAGCCGTACAAAAGGAATTACAAGGTACACCATTATCTTGTACCGCCGTATTGTCTGAATCGGTTCGTTTTAGTAGTGCGGAACTTCACAAGGCTGTACAGTTGTGTCGAAATAGTACAGTTGTGGCTTACATGCCAGTTGCACGTGCTGCAAGGCGGAATGCTCAACGAAATAGAAGAAGGAATAATAATAATAATAATAATAATAATAATAATAATAATAATAATAAAAATTCTGGTACTTCTGCTTCTAATGCCGCTGCTGCTGCTGCTGCCACGACTACAACAACAACTACTAATGGTGATAGTAATGTTAATGGCGGTGAAGAAACAAATTCAAAAGGGACACTTTTGGGATTTTCTTCACCCTCATGCGTAGAGATTTGGACGCATGCAGTGTCTTTATCTGCTACTACACATTGTGATGGTCTTGCTGCTGCTTTTGTGCAAAAACGTATTCTTAGTATTGATCCTTCAATGGTGGTAACCGTTTTTTGCGCCTTTGCAAAAGATGAGGCTGCCATTATTGAAGGTATGACGTCTTCATCTGATGGAGGTTATACAGAAGATGTCACTCCTTCTGTTTGTACGCTTCCCTTCACTCCTGATGCCTTTGTAGAACGTGATGAGGAGTGTGATATTGCCGTGTTGTGTCTCTCTGGACTTGCATATGAATTAGGTCGTATCTCTGGATTAGAACGTCAACGAGCCTGGGAGCAAATATCTGCAGATTCGTTGTTTGTAGAACGTGTGGGATGGTGGCTATGGAAGACAGTTTCATGTGCTCGCTACGGAGCTGTATTCATTGGAAGTAAAGAATTATTCCGCGTTCTTGAACCATTACAACGAATAGAACGATATGTATTGCAACTACGTGAACAGGGACGTTATTGGCTTCCATCAGATGTGAAGGGAGCGGCATTGGCATTACGGTGTCCAGAACATGAGAATTGTCGTCAATTAGCAATGCTCACATATACAGATTATCAGGGTTGTCAACTACGTCGAATGGGTGTGCAGAAGTGTCGTTCACTTTGTTTGGCGTCTTATGAAGGATGTACAAACCCTTCACATGCATGTTTGCATACATGTCATGTCTCATATGCAGAAAATAATAATAATAATGATAGTGATAATAATAATAATAATGATAATGAGGATTCTGTTCCTACGCATGATCATTGTCCATTTCCTTGTGCAAAGGTACAACCTTGTGGTCATCTCTGTCTACGGTGTTGTGGAGATGTGTGTGCCCCATGCGAGTTTGTTGGTTTACAAGAACTTACATGTGGTCAACGTGTTGTTTCTGGCATGTCTGAGTCTGGTCCTGTGCTGACACTTGTGCCTCATTTTCAAAAAGTGCGTTGTGGAGAAACACCGCAGCCGTGTGAAGAAGCCGTGACACTTCGCTGCACACGCTGTGGAGAAAAGAATCCCATGCGTTGTTGTGAAGTGCAGGCACGTGGTGGAATGGAAACTGCCACACTTGCTGAGATGGAGTGTGTGGGTTGTGTGGCTCTTTACAATCGAGTTGCGAAGGAGTTTAATGCTGTAGAGATAAAAGCCATCGTATCTTCTTCTTCTTCCTCTTCATTGCCCACAACGGATGGAGATATTCCCCTGCAAGATCTTCCCGCCGCTGCGCAGGAGAAATTGCAGAAATTGCGGGGCATAGCGGTAAAGAAGGCACAATTAATGCTGCAGAAGGAGGCGCTGGAAACTACACAAGGACGACAAAATTCGGAATTTCATCAACAGCAGGAAGTGTATAATCGTATGCGAGAACAACAAGGGGAGGAACTACGTCTGCATCGCTTACGTGTTCAGGAAAATATTCAAGCATGGGCGAAAACATTGAAGCAAAAGTATGAAGTACAAATTTCGGTGAATGAGGAAATGGAAACAGAAGTGCCCTTAATGATCAGTGAAGCCGTTGCTGAGGAAGAACGGCAGGAATCCCATCTTTTCGTGTAAAATGAAGAAAAAAAAAGAAAATCAATCAAATAAACAAACAAAGAAAAAAAAAAAGAAAGAAACAAAAGAGAAAACAAATGATTGGATTCTCTTGCTATGTAATGGAGTGGGTTTTAAGGTAAGTGGTGTATATCTGCAGAAGAATTCCCCATACCCACTTTCTCTAGTTGCATTTTTACCTTTTCAATAAAACAAATGATAATATATATATATATATATATATATATATATATGGGTGTTTTTTTTTTTTTTTGTAATCTAATGAATGTATTCTCAACTACTCACTTTCTTTTTTTTTATTTCTATTTCTCAAATATTCTATCTAATGTAGGCGGTGTGGCGCAGTTCCTTCGCAATGATTTTCCCCCGACGCGCATGCCCTGTTATCGCTGATCACATTACTAACAACTCTACTGGTTCTTTCCATTCGCTCCTAAGGCGGCCGCGAAGATTGTCACAACATGTGTGTATGATTCCTTTACAGCTTCATTGTGCGAGACGCACGTTCCTTGTACGTTTTCAAGAGACACCAAATGAGTCCTGTTACAAATTCTTTGTAGATGACGTAAAGTTTCTTCCAGAGAAACAAGATGGGACACTTAGTTTTGATCTTGACAACTCTTATCAATCACCCTTAGCCGATCAGCTTCTACGCAATTTGCCTATGGTGGAAGAAGTAACCGTTGGACGAAATTTTGTTACGGTACGACGAGTAGACAATGATGATGCGGATGCGGCTGTACGGTACTTTGCAATGAAGATGGGTCTTGCTTCTACATATACTTCTGCTGCTGAGCAGAGAGAAGCGGCGGCTCAACGTTCTGCAGAACTACAGCAGCGGGTAATGGAAGCTATGAGAGAAGGTGAACCCAATGAGACTCCCGTGTTTTCCTCATCCCCCAGCAGTAGTAGTAATAATAATAGTAGTAATAGTAATAGTAGTCAAGAGCAGAAGGGTAGCAATACACATAATAGTGAAAATAAAGAAGCGGACAAGCAATCACAACAACAACAACAACAAAAAAAAAAAAAAAGAAGAAGCAGAAGAAAAAAAAGAGGATGAAGAAGAGAATAAAATAAATGAGGCGGCACTACGCGATCTTGTCTTGTCCACACACTGGAGTGAGTTGAAACTACACGTGAGTGCTCTTCTCACGGATCATCTCTTCAGCGGCCGGCCGCATGTGGACGCCGACGCCCCTCACCCACACCCCGACACTCTCCCGCAGGAGGGCGACTCGGAGGTGACACTCATCGTGAAGGAACTCATCGCCACAACAATTCGACCACAACTGCAGATGGATGGAGGTGATATTCGATTTCTGCGGCTAGAGGGACCTGTTATGTATGTGGAGTTGCTGGGCTCGTGTCGTAAGTGTAAGAGCAGCAAGACAACACTTCGGGATTTGATTGAACGTACAACGCGGCATTGGGTTCCAGAGGTGCAGGAGGTGCGGGAAGTTCAACAGATGAGAGGTTCACACCGACAACCACAAGAAAAAGAAAAAGAACAAGAAGAAGGAGGATAACGATAAATAAAGGAAATAATAGATAACGACATTGCGTAACGTTACCATCATATGATTATGGTGATGATGATGATGATGGTAATACATGATAATGATAATCTTAATAATTTGTTGAAGGTGTGGGGGTGGAGGAGAGAGCAGTAATGTGTATTTGTTTCCTTTCAATTTTTTATTTTTTATTATTCTCTCTCTCTCTCTCTCTCTGTGTGTGTGTTTGTGTGTGTGTATGTGTGTTTCGTTGTGTTTTAGTCAAGTGTCAATGACAACAAAAGTGAAAAAAGAAGCTTCTTTTCATTTGTGAATTGGATAGGGAACTCTTTCGGAGATTTCTCCTGCTCTTGCTTATAATGTCTAGTGTATGTTCTGTAATTGTTTCACCTCAAATGTTACTTTTTTTTCTTCTTTTTTTTTTTTTTTTTTCTTTCTTCTTCGGTAGAAGTATTCCTCCACGCTAGTTCATTTTTTTCTTTTCTTTTTCTTTTCTTTTTTTTATATATATAGACGTGAGAAGCAACTGCTTGCATCAAAGGCATATCTCGGGGGACAGCAGTAGCAACACGTCATTCTATTTTTATTTCCTTCGCCATCTAGCACGGGTTTAGAAAACAAAAAACAAAAAAAAAAAAAAACCCAAATTCAAGGAGGAAAGGCAAAGGAGGCGATAGTGGATTATTAACGAACGCATACATATTACAAATATCCATATCTGTATTATATATATACATATATATATATAATACTATATAAAGATAGATATTCTTTAAAAGAGAAATAAAAAAAGAAAGAGAAAAAAAAACAAATAACAACTATCAGATGGAGGAACGGGACGAAGTAACAGCGACATCATTTCGTGTGATGGTCTCTGAGGCGGAGCCGTACAGCTTCCAGACGTGTGCTATGCAACAGGTGCAGAGCTCAGTGCGCATTACGCACATCACCTTCACACCTCCAAGCATAGAAGAGATGGAGGCATATATACAACAGCAGGAATCAAACTCCGACTCCACACCAGGCAGAAATGACGCTTTACTTCGTTCCTCAACACTCGCCAGTCTTCGAACGCTTTGCGCCTCGGGGAAACTGGAGAGTCACGCCGTCGCCTGTTTTCCATGGACCGTCCCCACAGATGCAGCGGCCTTGGAAGACATGGCGACAAATAACAACAACAACAACAACAGCCATAACAGTGGTGATAATAAGAAACACAAAAGCAATAAAAATGGGAAAGAAAACAACGGTAACAACAAGAAACTGGCTTCCTCCTCAACACAAATCACTGCTTCCGCATGCTCCGCTGAGCGTGTGCAATTGGCAGGGTTTTTTGAAGTGGCACTTCCACGACAGACAGACATCTGCAGTAATGTCGATCTCCGCTTTGACGTGGATGGCTCCGTCTGGCTTGAGGTAAATGGCCCCGGCAGCGTGACGTTCTTTGGTGAGCAGTACTCCTCTCTCATCCCGGAGTGGTTGAGTCATCACTTCTTCACTGTTGGCGACGATGATGAGGAGGGCGAGGATGAGGAGGGGGATGAGGATGAGGTGTACAGCGATGGGGACGAGAGTATGATCATGGGAATGCGCAATCTGATTCGTTGACGGCCGTGAGCAGCGGAGAGAAAAAAAATTGCGTTTCCACATATGATGAGTTACCACATTTATATATATATATATGAGAGAAAGAGAAAGAGATGGTGTAAAAACCGAATAAGAAAGAGAAAGAGAGATGATGATGATGATGATGATGATGATGAGGATGATATGATAATGGGGAAGAGTGTGTGGTGTATATTTTGTGGAAAGGGTGAGTGAAGGCGCAGGAATATAGATGACCTGATAGTTAAGGGAAATCCACAAACCATATAAAACCCCCCTCTCTCTTTTTTTTCTTGTTTTTTTGTTTTTCCGTTTTTGTCTTTTTTTTTGTTTGTTGTTGTTTTTTGTTATTATTGTTTCTTTCACTTGCTGTTATGTGCTTCTACGTGTAACTCTATGTATGCGAGTGATTGTTATTCTTGCTAATGTTCTCGCTGGAACTTCGACTACTACTATTACTATTACTATTACTATTACTACTATTACTAGTGGTGGTGGTGGGTACTGTTTTTACCAGTCACTACCACACTGTTCTTTGCCACGATAAGAAACAGGAATAAAATAAAAATAATAAAAAAAAAAAAAGAAATAAAATAGGGAAGCGGAGAGAACATCCGTGCATGTATTACAAGGCTAACATATATGTATGGGATGTACACGTGAGTACAGCAAATGATGAAATTGAGGAACGAGAAGGAGAAAAAGAGAATTAGGAACGTGTAAAAGAAAATAAGCAAAAGAAAGAAAAACGAAAAAAAAAAAAAATATTTTAGTCGTTTGTATAGAGCAGCCCTCTGAGAGAGAATACAATAAAAAGATCATTACATGTATGTGTATGTGTGTGTCTATATATATATATATATATATATATATATATATAGACATGACATTAGTGTCCTGACATTCAGTCAGTACGCATATTTAAGTGAAACAAGAATGAATGAAGGAAAGATATATATATATATATATGACGAGAGCTAAGAGAAAAAGAAGAAGGATAGGAAAACGAAAGAAGATAAGGGATTAGAAATGATATCTTTCTTTTTCATTTTTTCTCCGTTGTTCTTCGTTTTTTGTTTTTGTTTTTGTTTTTCTTTACTCTTTTGTTATATCTTTCTTGCTTTTTTCAAGTTTTTTTTTTTTTTTTTTCTCCATCAATGACGCCAATGTTCTCTTATCCATTGTGTATCGTTGTGCGCTTTTTATTGATGGTTTTTTCTTTTTTTTTTTCTCTATTTGTGTCTTTGTCCTGTGAAATTATCCCTCAGTGGATTATTGGAGTGATGAATACTAGATATATACTTATATATAAGTA